GCGTTCCATTAGAGTGTTTACGGTAACTGTCTCACTACATCATATATGTACCAAATTGTGAGCCAAATTCATTTCAGGTCCCTTGGTGGGGTGAGGTCCCATCTGAAATGCCACCACAAAGAGAGAGGTGATTTTCTGAATGTCTGGAAGAAGCATAAGGAATTTATCCAAAATGGGGTAAGTGTATTTTATTTTAAACTTGCCATAAGACAAAAAAAGCGTATTTTCAATTATATGGGCGCAAATGCGAGTGAATTTGAAATATTTTTTTGGGATTTTTTTTTGGAATTTTTTTTGAAAAAGTTTTCGAAATGTCCAAACTTCCTTATTTTCGATCAAAACACTGTAAAAATAAACTAGCTGGTTTTATTTTGTCGAGAGCTTCAAAATGAGTATAATCATGACCTACTTTTCCTTAACTTGACTCATCTGGAGGGACCATGCGCGTCTAAACCGAACATATCAAAGTGGGCGGAGCCTAGTCGTGTTTATACTCATTTTGAAGCTCGCGACGATCTGAGAAAGAATATACAATTATTTTTCAGAAATTTCAGAAAACATGACAACGGGGAGCAAGCTACACCGATGGGACTAAATGGACTACCATCGATGCACCATGGAATGCATCCAGTGCCAATGCTCCAGCTCAAGGTGGTGGCCCAATGAGAGGGAACGGAAGAGGTTAGTTTTTGAAAAAAGCTTAACTTGAAGAATTACCTAATGTAAGGACAATGAAGTCTTAAAAAAGATAATTGAGTAAAAAAAAGCATAATCAAGACCTAAAAACAGATAAATCCCAAAAACCCAATTTCAGGAAGCTCTACGGAATTCATGACTGGGGCACGATGGGACCGAATGGGCAGCCACTTCCGTCTGGAAAAAAAAATCTTGCGATGCCGATGGTTCCATTTACAGCCTTTGGGGGTCAAACGTGTTTAATTTTGTATTTTTTGAGAATAAACGATGAATTAAATGAAAATAGTTTTTTGTTGATTTTCGAAAATAGTAATTGCTCTCTTTTGCTCAAATATTTTGAATTCAATTTCAGGTTTTTTCAAATCTTTTTTCAGGAATATCTTCTCAATCTGACACAAACAAAGCGGAACGGATAGAATGAAAAAGCGAAATTTAGAGGAATCAGTACCCTTTTTGGTAAGTATTTATATTAGAAATTACACAAGACATAAGTTTGTGCTCTGGAGAAAATCATGTGATATTGTCCCAAAAATCCTGACGTGTCGAGTATAACCATGCGAGAAAAGGGGCTGGAAAGTCAACAAAGCTTAATAATCATTTGAAATTGTTGCAGGAAAGCTGGATTCAAAGAAAAAATAGGCCTCAAAAAGAATTGTTCAGAGCGAGTCGTGCGCAGGATGAGTCAGTGAGAAAGCTCGAAAAAGCAATGAAGATCGTCGACAAGGCAACTGAAAAGATTAACTGAAAAGATTGAGACGCCGAAGGAAGCAGTGGAAGAACAGAAGAAGACATCGGCAAGGTGAAAGAACGAATGTGAGAATGCTAAAGGTGAGAAGAGAAAATTACAGTGAAGCAATAGACAGAAAATTCAGGTGCAATCTAGGAAAGCCGAGTCTTCATTGTCTAATAATTCCAAAGCATTCGTTGGCGCAATGATTGGTGGAATCAAAAGTCCGGTGAGCCGTGTTGCGTCCCGATTTTGAAAAAAATGTTGAAGGAAAATGCAATGAAATCAAGAAATGGAAGCTCACAACAAGTTTCAGGAGTTGAAACAAAGACAGAAGAAGCCAATGTCGGAGTACCCAATAGATATGGAGAAGTGGTCGAAGAGAGCGTTTCCACATTTGGACGACGATTGAGCTGGGCGAAATTGAACGTATTAGAAGAGAAATCGGATGAAGTCGATTTTCCTCAAAAGTTTTTCAGAATGGTAACTAGTGAAAAAGTGAAAAACTCGTGAACCAAACGTGCACTATTTTCAGATATGGACCAGCATTATCATCCGGAGCAGAAATCAGAATACAAGAATCTTGTCGGCCAATGCTATAACGACTTTCAAGCAGTCTGATAAAGTGTTTTTCCTGTAATGAGTAATTGGCGACATCTGCAAAAGTTGCATCTCAGCCAGATTTGCAAAAAGGGAGTGAATATGAGTTCAGACACATCGGAAGACAAAATCAAAACGTTACGAGCGCCACGTTATGTGCGATAATCACTATTCGGCGGTTAGTTCTTTTGAAAGACCTGTTGATACTCTCCGTCATGAGTTTTGTTTCAGATTTCATTGTTTTCTATTTCTAATCTGGACGAGAAAAAGCATGGATCATCTGAAACAACGGAATCATCAGAAACAAAAATTTCTATCCTTATTCACCTTCCGCACGCAGCAACGAGCATTTGCCCCCATCGCTGTGTTCATTTATGAATAAATGAATTCGGATAATTGTATTTCGCATCATTAAATTGTCTATTCACACTCGATCTTTTTTGTGTGTGTGTGCGTGATTTGTGCGTGATCGTTACGAGTATGTTCGTTTGGAAGTTTTAGTAAAAGTTATTTTTTTGTAGATGAAAAAAGAAAACTTTTGATCTACCCCTATCGCAAAAAACTATTTTTGAACCTCCCTCCAATTCGTTTGCTGCGGGTCCGCAAACACCACACCCTCAGACAAAAATGTATCAAATCTTACGACATTTTCTTGAACATGCTTTTCTTTGTTCAGAAACTGAAATGGACGAGGATAGTCTGCTTTCAGACGGGTCCAAAACTCCGGGAGGCGTTCAAGAGTAATAAAAGTACTGGCGGCGGGACAAATACCAGAGCTCACCGAAAAGGATCTGAAGAATGTAGAGGGGACAGAAGGAGATTTAGGCTATTTTTACACTAGAAATCGATTTTTTCTGCTCAAGATTATCAACAACGGATTGAAAATCGACGTAACGTCAATTCTAACTGACGAGAATATTTTTAACGTTGCTCATCTCAGTTTCTTGTCTCCTGAATTCAAATCTAATGAAATCGAATCTAAAACGCTCATAAAAAAAGAAAGGAAAAAGGAGAAAGAAGAGTCACGTAGCATTATTGGATCGCCAGAAGCACCGTCACGTCATCAGAAACGCAACCCACAGAAGAAATCCATTTAAGTGGCCTTAAAGTTATGGAAAATCCTTTGGAACGAACAAATATGAAACTCGATGAATCTCACGTCATTTTTTTCGTATCCGATTATGCTCCGGATGCAACTTTGGATGATTTGCCTCAACAAGGACAACGAATAGTTTTTGACGGAAAACGGAAAAATTTTTCTGGAATCCGAGTTCAAAAAAATATAGAGAAATATGCTATAGTATGAGATCATTATACATACAACAAACAGGCTAAATTTTGGCAAGCTTTCATTATTTTTAACCTTTCAAATTTTTTCAAAAAGGAATAAAAATCCTTAATGAAATTAGAGGATGATAAGAAAATGGTCAAACAACTAATTGAAAATCACATCACATAGAAAATTGAGATGTGGTGATAAAGAGTGAGGAACTCCTTTTGAACCTAGGAGAATATTGAAAGGGGGGACTAAGAAAAACATTTCAAACCGAACCGGTGTGCTTAAGAAATGGAAGTTGGTAACCGAGATGAATAGTTAAAAGTGGATTATCATCATGGTAACCATCTACTAGGGGCGGATAACCATTCAGCAAACCTATCGTATGAGGGCAAGGAAAAAGAATACGGCATTCAGCCAATATTTATTGAATGGTGAAGACTGGGAGAACAGAAATGACACACAGGGATGACACTAAGGGGCATGCAAAAGAAACAATAAACTGTAAATGTTGGAATAGAGAACGACGAGCAGGGAGTAGCAGATGAGCATATTACTCAAGTTCCAACACCACGAACATTCGTCTGATGGAATCAACGATTTGTTGGAGGGTCTTTCCAGTATCTGTAAAATCACATTGTTGTATTTATTAGACAATCAAAACTATTCTAATTATCTCAATTGAACCAAATTAGATGAAAAGTTTTCGAATGTTCAGATCCTTTACTTACAATGGAACCTCAACACCTCGTCAACCCAGATTTTTCATGAAATTCACAGGATAGTTCGAGATCTAAATATCCCTGAAAATTTGACAATCTGCAAGCCAGTTCCAGTTATAACAGTTTCAGTACCAAAAGTTGCTTTTTCACTGTAAAACAGGGATTTTTAAAAACGATTCACATGTTCTAGGACGTTGAAAATTGCTGTTTTTCTCTAAAATGCGATTTTCGAGACTGAAACTTATATAACTCTGCTGAAACTGGCGCCCGGATTCTGAAATTTTATTTGAGGTTTCTATTAGGTTGAGCGAAAAGTCATTGTAATTTTTTTCGGACCGTCATATCTCAGCATTGATTCCACTTTTTATTATTTTGTTTTTTTTATATTGTAGTACTAGTTGTGCATGCTTAAAAGATTTGTTAAAGTTACCGACGGCGTTCATAAAGACCGAGAATTTGCCCAGAGACCACCATGCTCTCAGGTGTGCTTTTTTGTTCGAGTTTCTCCGAGGTCACAAATGCAGCGTAGGTTGTCGTGAATTGTGTACAGTGTTAGGCCAGAACTATATGTCCTACACTACAATAGTTTTGGTTCAAATGATTCTCAGAAGAGAACTACGATCTCGAAGGTCTGGCCTACCACGTGTTGATCTCAACGAGGATATCTCTAGAGCGCTAAAAGAAGAACCAAGAGTAACGTCTAACATTCTTGGTATGGAGGTTCGCTTTTTATACCTCCCCCCCCCCCATACTTACTCTCTTGCCAACCGTCAGTGTTTAACTCTGTCATCACTCTCATTCTCATATTACCGTGCGCGGACTCGAACATGTCGAATACCGCTTGGCTGACGTACTCCGCGCCCTGAAAAATAAATGAGTTTTTATGACAATTCTAGACAGAAAAAAGACTCACCTCAACATGGACTCTTGGGATATACGTGTCGATACAGCGCTCATACTTGCTCAAGATTGACGACCAAATTGGGCTGAATTTGAGAATCCATCCAATGGACCCTGTCTCTGTGCCAAACAGTATTGGTTCCGCTGATAGCAAGGGCATGATTGCGGCAACGCGTGCTTCCGTGAAAAACGTTGGCTTGGAGGAGAGGAAGAAGGGCTCTTGTGGGAGGCCTTGGCGGAGGTGTCGTTGGAATGGGCCGGAGAAATTAAAATGCGACAAATGTAGAGTAGTGTCCTGGCAGGTGACGAACATTGTTGGAATCATTTCAGGTTGTGGTGTTTCGTGTGGCACAGAGTTGCCGAATTGGATTCCATTCTCATCGAGCATCACAGTCAGAACTTGCTCATCCAGATGTATCAAAATTTGATTATGAGGCATCCTCATGGAACACTTTGGGATTTCGTTGGTAATTTCACCGATTGGCGTTCCTATGAATGCGCTCATCTGAGGTCCACCTCCTCCTAGTCTTGCCGCATGTCCAATCCAGAGCCGCACCTTGAACGGAGCTTCTGGCACATTTTCCAGTGTCACAATGGCAACTGTATCCATTTGTCCAATCACACCGGTCTTTTTTTATATTTGCTGAATGAAACTCACCCAAGGTACTTTTCAGACGAAAGGATCTGCTGAGCGTCAATCGGTACTCGGGTGCGTGCATCAATTAGTGTCAGAGTTGTGATGGGTTGTGGGTTGTATTCGGCGTATCTCATACCGATCACTTTTATGCCGGTTTTTAAGGAAAATTATTATGAACAAATATTGTCAAATTGAGAAAAAAGGATCTGGGGATTCTCGCAGGACCCGCTTGTGTTGGGCGAGACTTTGACCAACTGAAACTGGTTCTCTCAAAGTTAATCGGGTTTTCGTGTCAAAGATTGCGTGTGAATTAACCTTATTCGTCAGATTGCTGCGTCCCAACAAAAAATTGCGTGTGAATCTCCTATAAATTATGTTCTCAGCTTCTACTGCACGTAATTATCTTTTTCCGAATACAAACTGTCCCCGCGTGTTCCGCCTCTTTTCCCCCAATCACGGGAAAGCTAAAACTGATTGAAGAATTTTTTTTTGAAAACTAACGATGACAGGAAGATTTCCCAGAAATTATTATAAATATTTCAAACATTATCACCGAACAAAAAAAAACTTATTGAAAAATCTAGCGGGCGTTGCTGTAACCAGCTGAAGGAAAATTGACTCTTAAAAAATTAGTCGAACTTTCGTGCCGAAGATTGCGTGAGAATCTTCAATAAATTATGTTTTCAGTCTCTACTGCACGCAATTATCTTTTTTCAAATCCAAATTGTCGCTGTGTGTTTCGCCCCTTCTCACGGAATTGAGGAAAACTCCAAATAATCTAAGAATCGGTTGCGAAAACTTTGAAAAACTATTGACGACGAGAAGAAATTAAGAGAAATACCGAAAGTTTTGAAAATGACATTTTTTTAAAAAAGAACAATTACATTTGGAGGGATGAATTCATAACTATTTTCAGACGCACAAGGTTTCCTAGGATCACAGAAAGATTTCAAACTCATTTTTCTGATTCTTAAAAACGACAATAAAGATAAGTGGTGGAAGAAAAAACAATATTGAGTGGATCAGCAATATCCAGTTCAATGCTGAAACGGACCACTTTTCAAAAATAAATTCATTCTATTTTCACACTACTTTCTCAGAATATAAGAATTTAAATAATTGGGTGTAAACACGAAACAAATGCAGCATTTCTATCAAATCGGCGGATTTTTCGAAAAGAAAACTTTTCAATTCTCGCGCTTTTTCAATTGAGTATCTGACAAAAAACGGTTTGCCTAGGACAATATTAATGAATACGGTCTCATAACCAGTTTTTAGGAAGCCTTCTCCCAATTTCAAATTCTTATCCCTCAAGGATCCCCTGTACCAAATAACTCTATTTTTCATTAGAAGGAGAAAACATCTGTGACCGACTTTTTTGAAAAATTTGACCTAATTCGAAATTCCGACCTCTCAAGGATCCTATACACCTAGTTTGGGACCTCTACCTTTAAAACCAACAAAAATACAAATTTGACCTAGTTAAAGTCGCCTGATGACCTAATTTCAATTTTACATTAATTGCTCTTTCCAACCTTCCAATATGGTAGCTCTACCTTTGAAACTGATGAAGTTCCAGTTTTGACCTAGATAGAGGTATCATTTGACCTAGTTGAACATCTGACCCAATTTCATGTTTCCATCTTCATCCCCACCCATCATAACCACCCACCACCAGTCACTTACACTTTGAAAATAATAAAATCCTGGTGCCCTCAAAACAATTTACGGTGACCTTCCACGTTTCACTGTCGATGAAGGGGGAAAATCCTTCAGAAAAATCAGTCTTCGCTTTTTTCTCATTCGCGATTGGTGAGCACGCTTTGCTCTCTCCCCTTCTGCTGATTTCTTCAAGGTAAATTTGATTTTTTAATGAAAAAGTAGTTGGTGTGTATAAGTGGTAGTTGGGCAAAGTAGTTGAGCACTTTTTGGAATATAGGTCACGCTAAAAATTAATTAGGTCACTATAAAAATTCGAGAAAAAAATAGAAAAAAATCAGAAAAATTAGAGAAAATGACAAATTTAATTTCACAGTTTATTTTTTCAGAATGACTGGCCATGTTTCATTGTTGACTCTTTCTGGAACTCAAATCAAGGGTTATCATCTGTCTCAGCTCATTGGATCAGGAGCCTATGGAGCTGTCTACAGAGGAACTTGTGGATCCGATGTTATTGCACTGAAGGTTTCACATCGAGAACACGACTTGGCAATCGAAGCGAAAGCTTTGCAACTTCTGAACAGTAGTGACGCGTCGCCCAAGATATTCTTTTCTCATCATGACGGCATCTATCACACACTGGGTGAGTTCTTTATAATAATAAAATCAATTAGGCTATACAAAGTTTCGAGATCTGGGACGGTGTTCATGAATATGTACCTAGCCAAATCATTTACTTTGAAAAAATACCTAACTTGATATAAACATTCAGCTGATTTATTGAGAGTGAATGTCATATCTAGATAAATGTTCATGAATACAGCCTCTGAAAAAAAAAACTAAGTCCTGTAACTAATTATAGAGTAAATTGAATATTTTTAGGTCTTCAACTCCTGGGTCTAGACCTAGAAACGCTCCGTGAAAAAGGGTCTTCGAAACCATTTGATCGGCATACTCTGGTCAAATTCATGTATCAAGCAATTGCATGTCTAGAAGCGGTACACGAAATGCGAATTGTTCACCGGGACATCAAGCTGGCGAACTTTGCCGTCACCGTTCCAACTAATCCTGGAAACCGGGTTGCTCTCCGAATCCTCGACTTCGGGCTCTCCCACTTGTATGAAGACAATAATGGGACCCCTCTAGACGATTCCAGAAGCGTGAATTTCAAACGGATGAAATACTGCTCGTATGCTGTCAGTATTGGATGCACCCCTCTGCCAAAGGACGATATCGTCCAAATCTCATACGCTGTGCTCCACGCCTCCGACTTTGACTTCGCTGGGAAACTGAAGTGTCCTGCACGCGAGCTCTTGACTTGGAAGGAAGAGTTGGCAAGTAGAAAAAAGCAGTCAAGAAACAAATATTGCTACTTTCAGCTTAGCAAACCGGCCGAGGCTCTACCGCATTCACTGAAGTTCATGTTTCCTTTCTTTGAAATTGTTGGTGAACTCGATGACGACAGCCCGATCGACTACTCTCTTACCAAACAGCGCATTCAGGAATGTCTGCCCGGATCTGATGCTACTGGTGATTTGCTTTTGAGTGAGAAGAATGGAGAGCTACTACTGGTATGAATCGATTCAATTGGGGATTCCAAAGGACCCAACTAATTGTTCCTTTTCTTGTACCATAAATTTCTCACCACAACTTGATAGATAAAGAATTTTAAATTTAAATCGTTTTTTTATTTATTCAATAAAAAAAAATACAAAAAAAAAACTCAAAAAAAAAAGAAAAAACTTGAGTGATTTCAGAAAAATTTGAATAAGTACTTTGTAGGTGCTGCGAAATATTATCGATATGTGGGCAAATGAGCTAGGCACTTTCCAGAGTATACATATGTTACGCCAAAAAAGAACAAGGTCAGAAGCTTAAGAAAAAATAGCAAACTTAATACAGTTTTGTGTTTTTATGATTACTGGGGATTTAGAATAGACCGTGAATATTTCTAAAAAAGGACAGGAATTTACAGAACTAAAACCGTTTATGTCCAGGCAACAAGCTTAATTCAAAGGTTAAAATGCAATCAATTCTACTATGTAGTTTCACAGTTTTATCATTGAAAACGGATGATTTCTTGAATCCAGATCAGATAAAGATCTTCGAGAAGAAGACGAAATGTAATGTTATTGACAAAAAAAAATTATCAGAGCTTGATGTTGAAATACTTTAATTTTAATCCGAATTTGATTCATCAGTTGAAAAGTCTCTGTTTTGTTCTTCTAAATGTAAATTGATATACAGTTTACGTATTAGAGATTTTATTTTTCTTTACTGAAATTATTTAAAAGAGTTTTAAAAAAATATTTTTAAAGTAGCTTCCAATTCCTTTTGTTCTGCATCGAGACAAATTGATTCACATCCACAATTCCATCCTTTTTGGCTTCTTGAAAACAATTGTTGCACCAATACTGTCTTTCCGCGCCTTCTGTTCCTTTGCGCTTCAAGCCAAAGTATCTTTCCTTCGGGCGAATCCTACAAACTTCCGATCCCTTACAGTACAAGTTGGACACGTTGTACGGAAGGTCCAGTACCTCACAGCAGCACTTCAGGTCCTTCGGAGCCTTCTCTATTCCCATGCTATTAGCCTTCTCAAGAATCAACTTTCTGGCTTTTATCCATTCCTCGCAAGCAGGACGTACTTGTTCTTCCAGCTTCTTTCCGCTTAGGTTCGAGAAGTGAACACGTGTCAGATGCTTTCTGAGATCGGATGGATATCTGAAAGAAAATTTAATTATTTCGAAACATAACTGACTCGGACTTACCCAAGTTTTATTTCGCAATTTCGATCTGGACACGTCAGCCTCTCTTTTGGTACATGCTTCACCCAATCGCCATCCTTCTCATCATCTTTCCAACAAAAGTCATCTGAATCTTCGTCTACAACTTTCATCTTCTTGACTCTCTGCAAACTCACAAATTAGTATACAGTACCTGTAAAACCATTTCGGTACAGTATCCGGTCAATAAGATACCGTAAAACCTGTAATAGAAGGTCTCTCTCATTTTTAACTTTGAGCCAATTTATCTCGGTTCCTGTCAATATTTGAAAGTTGTCAGCTAATTTTAATTAGTTAAAACTGTTTATCATAATATGAAAAACATCATATCAGTGGAAAATTTTTTGATATTTCTTATAGAAGCCGAGACAATTAAGCTTAAATTTAATAGTGTGATGGCCCTTCTATTACAGGTTTTACGGTATACATTAATGTATTTTTCCGTCGGTTTTCGGCAGTTTTCAGAAGTCTGGAGCTCGGCTATCAAATTTCCGACCACTTTGAACATTTTGGAGGGTGTAAAACAGACCTACCGTAAAAACTCTATTAGAAAGCCATGGCACTCTATTGTTCGGGGGTTGTCTGGGGTGGCACTGTATTAGCGGTTGGCATTCAATTAGAGACTGGCACTTTATTGTTCTGTGCCATTTACCTACTGAAAGTCATCAGGGAAGTGCTATATTTTCAACTATTTCTTAAGATTACTTTCGATTTTTTAAATGTGTCTACTTCTTTTATAGAGTCTGCCTAACTTTCAGAGTCTGATATCACCCTGAAAGATTTTTGGTGAGTACAGTACCTTTTTTAAGCTTAAAAAAAACTAGAAAACCAGAAAATGATTCTTTGTTTTATTCCTTAACTTTTACCACAGTCATTCACGGAATTTTTCGAAAACTCCTAGTTTTTCAGCTATTTGACTATTCCTGAAGGACACCATATTTTAATGTTTTTGTACTAAAAACTCGTATAAAGTGTCACGCCACATTGCGAGTTTCAGATATATTCAGGCCATTTTTGATGTGTTAGAATTCAGCTAAATTGAAAAATTTTACATCTTTAAATTTCCAGATTTCTGAATTTCTAGACCTTCAAGGTTCTCATTGGTTTATAACCGAATTTTTCGGAAATTTCTCTGTTTTTGATAAATCGGTTATTGGAGTTTCTGAACTTTCGAAGGTTATTTATGTACCCCTCGGTTGTTAAGTTTTTTGAATTTCAGAATTTATCAATTTTTGTATTTTTCAATTGTTCTCATTCTCAGATTCTCGAAGTCTTAGTTACCTAGTTTTTTTTTGATTTTTGATGTCTCGTTGTTTGGATATTAGTTTAATCTTCTAAATTCTTCGGTTTTAGATTTTTGAATTTTCTGGTTTTTTCCTAGATTCCTAGATTTCTTGATTCTTAAATACCTAGATTCTTAGATACCTAGATTCTTAAATACTTATATACTTAGATACCTAGATTCCTGGATTCCTAATTCCTCAGGTTTTTGGAATTCTAGATTTTACAGAGTTTTTTCACGTTTTCAGTACCAAACATTTCACAAGAGATGTCTTTCAGAAAACGGAAAAAAAAGGAATTAAAAAAATTATGAGAATGCAAAGTTTTTGGTCTGTTTTACATCATCCAAAGTTTTCAAAGTGATCGGAAACTTGACAGAAGACCTCCAGACTCTTGAAAATGGTCAATGTAGCCCAAAATTGACTGAAATTTACGTTTTTGCATATCTCATTGACCGGTACAGTCGTTTATCTAGTTTCTGCATTCAATTTTAGTATAGAAAAAAACCTTACCTTCTTCTTCGTCTTCATCTGCTGGCTAGAAGTCCCAGCGCTTTCAATATCGATCCTCTTCTGATGAGTCTTTCTCAATGATCTTTCCTTTTGACGTCGTTGGTTGGTTCACCGAGACGTCGTCATCTTCATCGTCTTCCCAATCGTCGTCATTTGAATCTTCTTCGTCTCTCCTGACCATTTTCTTTGTCTTGGTTCTGTGCAAAAATTTAATGTACGGTACCCGCGAAACGGTATCAAAAAACTTTTTTAACAAAAAGCTTTGTAAAATAATTTTTATTTTCGAATCTAGGGATCTAGAAATCTGGTAATCTAAAAAACTAGGAATCTAGGAATCTAGATCATATAGACAGAAACTCACCTTCGCATCACTCTCCTTCTGCTCATCTTCCAGATAATCTTCATCATCCTTGTCGTCTACCCAATCATAAAAATCATCAGCATCCTCTTCCTCATATTGCTTCCATTTCTTTAGTTTTGCTTCCTAAAATTTTTTTGAGCTATTAGACTTTTCTGATTCATGCTTTGAGCTATTAGAACTTTCTGACTCGTTTTTTGAGCTATTAGAACGTCCTGACCTATTTTTTGAGCTAGTAGAATCTCCCGGCCCATTTTTTGAGCTATTGGAACTTTCTGACCCGTTTAGTACAAGGACAAAACCAACTGAGCAATTTTTTGTACCTTTGTGAGTTCAAAAAGAGCAGAAGCCAGTGATAAAAATGGGGGAAGATTGGCTTTTTAGAAAGTGAATAATTTGTAGTATGGAATAGTTAAAATGGAAGAAGTCAACAGAAAAAATCTTCAAAAAAATCTAGTTTCATAGTAAAATCTTCTAAGAGATGACAAAAAAAGTTGTTCAAAAGAGAAAAATATAGATATGTACTTATAAGAGGGAACATACTTTCCCATTACAGCTCTTTATAGCAATTGAAAAGAGCATTACCATTAGGGAGACGCAGGTGAGTCACTTTTCATGTAATTTGTATTTTTATGTGATGATTCCCTAAAATGAGGTTTGGGTAAACAAAAGAGGTCAGAATTTGAAAAAGAAACAGTTCTAGAAAATTTCGTTGTTTGCGTCTCTAGCCTCCTGTATTTGGAGCCGCTCTATCTCGGTTCCGAGAATCACTAGAAATGTGATTTCCAGACAGAATTGTATTTCTTATTCACTGGTTTTGTACATATTCAGTTTCAGTGTTAAATTTTATTATAGAAAAGAATTCCCACCTTCTTCTTCTCTTGCAGCTCAATTATCTGTATTCCAATTAAAGATATTCAAAATTTGTCAACTGATTAAATGTTTGTTATGGTATCAGCAACAGTTCTGTAGTTTGAATATTTTTGTGACTTTCCTGACTAATTTTTTGAGCTATTAGAATTTTCTGGCTCCTTGTTGAGCTATTAAAACAATTGCTTACCCATTTTTTGAGCTATTAGAACCTTTTACCGATTTTTTGAATTTGAATTTCCTGATCCGTGTTTTGAGCTATTAGAATTTTCTGACTCGTTTTTTGAGCTATCAGAACTCACCATCTTCATCTTCTCATTCTTCTTGCTAGAAGTCCCTGGTCTTCCATTCTCGATGTCTTCATCTTCTGATGAATTGCACTTGACGAATTTGCGTTTTGGGATTCTGGGTTTCTTGTCACTGAAAGAATTTTTGAATTATCAAGAGATTTTTAAAAATGGGATAGTTTCTTACCTTTGGAATCAAAGAATGCAACAGGGAATAATTAGGATCTTGAAAAAAATCATTGAGGAAGACTGGTACACACCCAGTCAATAGAATACTGGAGAAATAGGTATTGCGCGCGCCTTATATACACCTCAAAAATGGGAGGAGCGAAGAGAGTCGGCACAGAAAGGGGCGGAGCAAAAGAGAACGGTGTCATCCATGGAGACGCAGAGTATGAGTGGACATAGGGAAAAAAGAAAGCATATACCCTTTATTTGGGAAATGAATTTGAAATGGAACATCAGAGACCTAAAAAAAGGAACGGAGAAGCAGGCGCCAAAAAAAAAGGAGCCGAGGAAAAGGGAACAAAGAAGTAGAGACGATTTCGTTGGGAAATGGATGGGAAGTGGGATAGAAAAGACCCAAAAAAGGATACGAAAAAACAGAGACTGTTTTTAATGGAACGAAAGAGCAGATGCCTCGAAACCAGAAGAGAAGAAGCAGAGACCTAGAAAAATGGGCAGCTAAAATGCCAAAAGGAGTACAGGGCTGTTGTTGAAAGATGGGTTTCGTTCGTATGTAGACAGAAACAAAAGATTAGTGCATGAAAAATAATTTTACTTTGAGATGTTTGTGCTGTTTTCAAAAATACATACAATTACAAAAGAAGGGGGTAAAATTTTTTTCGGAAAATTATATCTCAGTTCCTGTAAGAAATATGAAAATATGGTCCACTAAAAAAATTTCCATTATAATACATATTTTTGGCAGTTGATCACTTTTTGATATCTTTTACAGGAACTGAGATATAGGAGCAGAGGATACAAAAACCGAATAACTGTTTTTTGTTTGATTGTTTCAGATCTATACATTTCCTTGAATTCCATAATTTTGGTGTGGGGGGCTGAAGTTGAATTGGTTGATTAAAGTATGGCCACCCACCAGTACAAAGTGGGGACCTATTCTTGAAGAACCTGGTATTCTTATAATATGGCCCCCACCCCTCCCTGCCTTTTTCAATTAAAGCCCCCCCAACCATTCAAAAATAGCCCCCCCCCCCCCAAAAAGAGAACCTTATCTGAGCCCCCAATTTTATTCAAATATGACCCCGCACCTATTCAAAAATAGCCCCCCACCCATTCAATTTTGGACCCCCACCAATTCAAAAA